GGGGGTCTTTGTTCCCCTGCCTGGGTCTCTAACCTCTGTCCCTGCACTGAAGTAGGATTCCTTACAACTCTCAGCTGAGAGATGGGTCTTTCCCCAACACAGGTCCCAGTAAACAGATCCCCTTGGCTGAAAAAAGGGAAAAAACCAAAAACCAAAAACAACAACCCTCTCCCTCCAATAAACCAAAAGCAATCGTAAAGACAAATAAAAAACAAAAACCAAACAGGAATTCTGGGTTTTAATCCCCCATAAGAGGTGGCATTCCCAATTCTTAGGTTTCTTCTTCTGGTGCAATCAAGTGAAAAACAAGGAGATTCAGGGAAAAAGGAAAGTGTTATTTTGTGTTTAATTTCCTCCTTATTGAATAATACTAGCCAGGTGAGTTATTGATTTTTTTTAACAGAAAAACACATTAAAGAGATAGAACTAGCATTTGATCTCCTACCTCTTGCCAGATAATTGGATTTTGATTTTCATTAAAAATTATATTTTTTCCAAAAGAAAATTAAAGGACTTGTAATAACAATTTTGAAATTACAAAAAAGTAAAGCATTTAGCAAAAAAAAAAAAACCCCAACAACTCAAAATACATACAGTTCATTTTTCTAGAAGTGGTGTCTGTATATGTTTATCCATATAATAAAGAACTCGACAGTTAGGTAGAGATTTAGACACATGAATGACAGACACAGATTTAGATATACACAGGTCAAATTTCATATGTGGGAAAAAGACTAAAGAATCATACTAGAACATTAACAGAACTGTATCTTCTGTGTTGTAGAACTGCAAGTAACTCTATTTTCTTCTCTATAACATTGCTTTTCTTATTCTTTTTCTTTTTTATTACCATCATCATTTGTTACTGTCATGCAATGAGAATGAGTTACTTTTATAATTGGGGAAAACCTCTTAGCTGTGGAAAGGGTTCAAAATTAAAATAAGTCTCATTTTTAGGTTCTGTCACCCAGAGGAATTCCATTAAAAGTGTAACAGACAGGGTAAGAACAAGGAAAACTTAGAACAACATGGTAACAATGGTTGCAATCTGAAAATAAATTTTCCAGCAGTGGCATGTGAAAGAACCGAATGTACAGCATAGACACTGTACCGATGCCTTGGGACTACAATGTAGATACTTCCGGAACCCACAGCCGGGCAATCTCAGAGAACCCAACCACTGTGTCACAGCCGAGTGGCTGATGGCTTATTCTGTACGGACAACACACACAGTTAGCACTTACAGGGGGACCTCGGGCGCCCTCCGGTCCTGGCAGCCCCGGCTCTCCTGTTTTGCCCTGAGAGTAAAGAAGAAAAGAAGAACTTGAGGACAACATTTTAAGGATCTTCCTGTCCTTGGCTGCCTGGGCCTCCCAGTATCATATTCCCACAAGCCAGTCTCTGCCCTCCTCCAGCCCCATCCTCTGGCACTTGGTCCATTCTCGTTCATAGAAGTCAGCACGGTGTGGTCCAGCCTATTTCGTTCTTGGTTTTCCTGGGACGGTGCTGGTTGTGCAGGTGTCATCTCTGAAACACTCATCCACAGGACCCCTTTTTATTCTCAGAAGTGTTCTGGTCTGGATGAGAAATTATGCAGCTGTCCTAGTTAGAAATATCCTTACATAGACTTGCAAAACCACCTCAAGGCAGCTAGTGAAGAGTGCATGTTACAAATGGGGACACCAAGGTTCAGAGGAGTTACAGTTTTACTGAGTTAATAAACGGCAGTGCCAGACTGAATCCCAGCAACACACACAAGGATTCTCTTCTCACCCCAGCAGTGGTGCCTGCTGACAGCCGGCCTGCAGGTACCCCTCCCTTAGCCCATACCGTCTTCTCTCAACGCTACGGAAGTTATTGGGACACTTTTGCTATTTAAAATTCTTCACGACCAGCAGCTTGGTATGGCCCCTGGATAGAACAAAGCAATGAAAAGCCAGTGGGAGCCTTGGGAGCTGAAGTCCAGATGAAGTGATGAGAGGTGGGGGAAGGTCAGGACGATCAGGGAAAGGGGGTGAAAAGGCATGTGTGATCGACGATGGGAAGATGGCAGCAGGCTGGCCCCCCCTCCCTGTAACAGGAGGGTATGCCTACTCCCCAAAATCATCCCCCTCATTTTCACAGCTTACAACCTTGAGGGTCAGATGGGGTCCACAGGGGGACAAGGGAGGAAAAGAGCATCCGTGGATTTAGAGGAAACTCTACAGGGAGGAGGAGCGTGAGGCACCAAGCTCTGATTTCCAGGTTTGCTCCTCCTTCCGCCCCAGCTTGTCCAAGTCTAGCTGGGCAATCATGGGGGGTCATTTCCCTCCCCTGGACTTGTTCTCAGTTGTCAATTCAGGACAATCTCCCCGTCATGGGTCTCTGTGATCAAGGGTATACAGGCCTAGTCTGGCTCCTGTCCCACAGTCAGATGGCACGGCCGTCACTGGCCAGACACCAGCAAAAAAAAGGTAACAACCAGCCACTGCTGAGGGTGGTCCACGTGCCAGGCACAACTCGAGGGAGTCACACAGCGGGGTCAACGAGTCCTCACTACCACCCATGATGGAAGCGCTTCTGTTCTCCAGGCAAAGCTCGAAGGCACAGAGAGGTTAAGTGACCTGCTCAAGGTCACAAAGCTGGGGTTCTAAGGCAGGCATTTTGGCTGCAGAGCCTCCATACTTCACCCTACACTATAGCTGATGCTCAAATGTCTCTTATTAAAAATGATGCAACAGGAAACTCTAAAAGCTGCCTTCCTCACCATTCTATCTGTGTCTCTCTCCACCCATCCAGCATCTGTCTGCCTAGCTACTACCTGCCTGGCGCTCCTCCCGTGTCCCTAACCTACAGGAAGTTAGAGGAGTAAGTCAGAGTGGAAAGTGACCGCCCACTCCCCGCAGCCAGTGCCGTTTCCCGGCCGCCCCTCCCCGGCTCCCGGGAGGGCTCCCGTCACTCTGCGGAGCAGCCCCTGCTCAGGCAGAAGGCTGTGCACAGAATGGCCCTCAGGGTGCTTGACTTTGAAGTGTCTGAGGCCCAAGTGCATGGGAGTTCATGCCTCCACAAGCAATCTTCTGTCAAAAAGGCTTGATGTTGATGATAAATTCCCCAGCCTCCTGGTGCCTCGGTAGGGCTGGGAGCAGCAGTGCAGGCGTGTTCCTCACACACGCCCAGATGGGCTCCGAGGGCTGTGGGCTCAAGCTGCCCAGTGGAATGTCTGGCTCACCAGCCTGCTGGTGGCTTTCCTTCTCTCCTTGTTCCATTTCCTCACTCCGTCTGTGCTCCTCGGTCACCTCCCAAATACTCCATCTGCCTCCAAATCTTGGTGTCCAGGTCTGCTCTTAGGGGATTCTGATGCCATTCATTCCTGTGCCAACTTCCCTCCCAGCAGCTCAGAGTGATAAAGTCAGGACGGCCCCACGCTGAGCCCCCAGCATGAACAGACTGGTGAGATCTGGGATGCCCACCGGGTGGGAGCTGCCGAGCCCCCTCCTCTTGCAGCAGAACCAGCCCTGCCTTCTCAAGTGCTGACTTACCCACTGCTCACCCAGAACAGCCCTGGTCTTACCTTGGTCTGTGCCCAATGCCAGGGCCAGGTCTGTCTGGAAAGGATCTTCCACAAATAGACCGATTCTGCGGGGCTGAGCCCCAAGGGCAGCCTTCAGGATGCGAGTCCTGGATGCTCCATTTACCAGCTTAGTGACCTCTGCCAGCCTACCTAACCTCTCTGGGCCTTAGTTCCTCATCTGGGCCAACAGTGATACCCACACCCCGTCGGGTTCTTCTGGGAATCACACCGGAGAATCTAACGAGGCACTCAGCACCCCGGCCCTCGGTGCACACGCGGTCGCCGTCAGCCACGGTGGGCATGTCTGCCCCTCTCTCCCTTCCCACGTTCTCCACCTGGCGACCTGCCACCTGGCCACCAGGGGAGTGCTCTGCTGGGCGTCAGCCTTCAGCAGCTTAGACGAGGTTCCACTTTGCTCGCTGCTGTAAGCTCTTTCCTTTTCTCTCAGCAGTGAATTCCGGTTTCAGCATCTGGCCACCCGTGAAAAATGATAAAGAAGGTGCTTCTGGCAAGTTGCATAAGATGCAGAATAAGTCATAACAGTTATGGCTGCACAAAGCTCGCTGTAGAAACCTTTACGTGCTTCCACTCAGTGGTTCCATGGGCCCCACAGCTCTAACCTCACCCAGAGTTAAAACCAGGGCAGCTGGAAAAAGCAACTCACTAAATTAACTACCAGTTAGATAAGCCCGAGGTGTTTAACCACTTTCTCACGTCGTTTGATTCTCCAGAAGCTCCAGCAGTTGCCACGAGTAGTCTCATTCTATCGGAAGTGAAACGGAAGCCCTGAGATGCTCTGTGACTCACAACAGGTCACAAAGCCTGTATGGAGCGGAGCCAGCATCCAAAGCCAGTTTCTTTTCCTGGCTGTGGTCATAATTTAAGCATAAAATATTTTAATTTAATTTTATCAGTAAGCACTGCATGCACAGGGCACCAAACATTAAAAAGATGACAATAAACACACCAAGGAGTACAAAGTTGCTTTCGCATCCACAAGTCCCTTCTGCTCAGAACCACCCAACCTCAGTTACCTCCGTGGATGGTAACTACTTTTCTTGGTATCTTTGGAGTCTCCCATTGTTTCTTTATGTAAACACTAGAAGGATACCCAGACCCATTTTCATATAAAATAGGGCTAGTTAAACACACTGCCCTGTCCCCTTGCTTTTTTACCTATCAAGACATCTTGGAGAAGCCCCATGTCAGTATCTAGAAAATGTCCTCACTCCAGCTCGCAGCTGCCTGGTATCTGTCGGGGGCCCCCATCACTGGGGGCCTACCTCCTACCGGTGGGCACTGGGGAGGACCTGGGTCTCTAAGCCCCAGACGCCACCTTCCATCTTCCCCTCGATGGTGGGGCTCCACAGCTCAGAGCTGCTAGGAAGTGAAGCTTCACCATCACGGAGCCCAGATCCAGTCAAGAAGGACCAGCCGTCCTAAGGAAGGATTGCTGTGAGGCTGTAGGGGTGAGTCCGTAGACATCCCTGACCACCTCCAGCCGACAGCTGCCAGGACCTCAGCAACACACGGTCCATCTCACTGTGTGGCCCAGGCAGCTGACATTAAAGATAAAGAAAAACAAAAACTCTAGGCCAAAGTTGCAGAAAAGGCCAACTCACACCCCCGGGAGCTGGCAGGTGACGCTCGGGCTTCTGTGGGTTTAACAGGCTTTTCAGACACCACCTTTCTACTCCAGCCACTGTCTACCTGCTCATCTCCCTTCCTACATCAATAGCATTGAGGCTGCAGGAGGAGTTAAAAAAAAAAATGAAGAGAGAGGGAGGAGGGACAGGAGTCCCGGGTGAGGGTCACGATTCCGTCACCAGCCCATCATGTGACTAAGGGCCCACAATTCCACTCCCTGAAGCTCAGTTTCCCCAGCTGTAAAATGGGCACGGCAGTGTTCGCCTGGCAGGTTCCGGGGGGAAGTAAATGAAGTGATGCATAGAAAATAACTCTCACTGTGCCCAGGTCAAAGCGGCTCCGGACACATCGTTGCTGTTTCTGAGAAACGACTGATTTGGTGTGTAAAATGAAGAGACACTTAAGAGTCCCTTACCGGGTCTCCAGGGGGCCCTGGTTTTCCATCCCTGCCCTCTTTGCCTTCTTCTCCCTGCAAGAGAAACTTGAATTAGTTCTCTGGCT